AAAACTACATCACGTTTTGTGAATTTAAAGGCACTGTAGTGTTTGTCTTTCATAATCGCGGAATTTGCTTCAAACGGCGTTTTAATTGGACATAAATGAGAAATTCTACAGGAAAAAAACAGCTGTAACGTCCAGCAGTAGTTTAGACCAATGAAAACGTATTATACTGAATAATATCCAATAAATTGGTCATAATATGTGTATACCCATTAGTCACAGGAGGGCTGATAATTGGATAAATGTATAACTTTATAGGATGAAAATTCACTAGTTTTGAAACTTTGAAGCATCGTTTTGGCAAGACTATACACATTCGGGATTTGTTCAAAATAGCAAGTTGCAGAGTGGTTTAATTGAGTTTGGATTATCATTTTTAAGACATTCCTCGCGAGGGCCGACACTAGAACCACATGTTATGGAACCGCTTCGCCAATTGTAACGCGCCTGCTCGACCAGGGGCGGTGTGTAATCTTCGGTTTTTACAAGTTGCAGAGTGGACCGACAGCTACATATGATATATTAAACTTTTCTGGCTAACATTTTTGTAACAAACGTTATGCTCAAAGGCACCCTCGAAGCTGTCGCGCACTGTTAACGCCTTCGAGTGGGCTCATCTGTGTCGGTGGACTTTTTACTCTGCTAATGTCAACCGTGTATGATCTTATAAAGTCCTTACACTTTGGAATCCAATACCTGTATTTATTTATCAAATCATGGTCGTGCAAAAATGCATTGACAAGGGTTTGCCGTCCGGTAGGTAGCAGCCCACCATTTCCCACACCAGCCCTTTCACAGGCGACGCAAGCAATGTCTTATTCCATCTTCGTTTGACGCAGGTTTCAAGTCATTACACGAGCATGTTGATGAAAGGACATAGTATGCTCCATTCATTATTTCCCGAAAAGACGTATCTTTCCATCTTCGTTTGACGCAGGTTTCAAGTCATTACGCGGTCGCGTTGATGCGAGCCTGGCCTTGGACGTTGACAAAGTACCCGTTGTTCCACAACTCGACAAACCCGTCAATGTAAAACGCGCCGGCGTTCGGACCGCCGTTGCAAAAGCCGTCGCTTTCGCCGGGGGGCTTGATCCACAAAAAGTAGTCAATCAGGGGGAACGCCACCGGGCGCACGGCGGGGGGGTACCCGATGCCGCGCCCCTTGGGGTTGCACCACTGGCTAGACGGGTCCGGCCCCTGGAAGTTGCGGGAAATGTCCAGCACACACGTGGCCGAGAGGCCGGTCGTCTTTTTGGCCGTGGCAGCAAACGACGAGCACAGGCGCGCCAGTTCCTCGGTCGACCGAAAGTTGGACGTGTTGATCGAGATGCCCTTGAGGCGCTTCCCGGTGGGGTCGAGTTTGCCCAGCATCGCCGCGATCTTGGCATCGTTTTGAGCCCCCAATACCCAGTACCCGACGTCCACGTAGATGTCGGCGCGGGGATTTTTCCCCAAAATGCCCAACGCAGCAATCAAATTGGCCTCGTAGCCGTACGTGACAGCGCACGTGGCCCCGCCGATGAGCGACCCGATCGCATCCGGTTCCAAGATATAGATCACGTCGTTGTTGCCCACGGCCGTGACGAGGGACTCCAAGAAAGCCACGTAATCTTGAGGCGTCTTATTGCTGCCGTCTGCCGACTGGTGGCCTTCGCAGTCCTTGTTGGGCAGCCCATACACCACTACCGTGGGGCGGTCACCTGCAAATATTAAATTCCACGTGGTATTTAGTTCCACAAGTTATGATTTAATAGAAGAGATATTTTACCAGCGGGACATTTCGAGACGGTGAGTTGGACTTGGGTCTTGGCATCTTGGGAACGATCCGTGTACCACGTGGCAATGGGCTGGCCTTCCACGACTTCAATGGCCGACTTCAAGTGCGGGTATTGGGACTTGGCTACAGAGTACGAGTATGGCTTGTTGGTCGAGCACAGGCCAACGGAGGCGGCGGCGGACGACGCCACAGTGGCGACGAGGATGGCAAGGGTGAAAGAACGAAACATGTCGAGGCAAGCCAATTTCAAAAGTGATCAACTGAATTAGTGCGCTCAACGAGCATCCAGCAAGCTGGGGCTTTGCATCACGTGGGTGCAACACATTCGGCGTTGCTCGACACGAGCTGATGCAGGTTCGGGTTTGTCGCGATCATCATGTTCGCGATGTAGATGGGCTCAGGACAGGCAATCGAATCGTCCAACACAGCCGACTTTCTACGTTCCCTCCACGAAGGGGAAGTGTATGCTAACAACGAGCCACGTCATTCTTTTGTCACTAACATGCCGGTTCCCATCGATGTGCGACAAAAATGTCAAAGTTGTCGTTGTAGGCAAACGAGGTCGTGCCTCTGAGGATAACACAGGCTCACGTTGGAATATGTCACGCAGCGATACCGAAGAGGATGAGGTCTTCGTCAAAGCAGCGAAAAATTCACGTGCAGCAGCTCTACGGTAGCTGTGCCATGTCAGAATCATAATTGACATGAAGTCATCCTGTGGTGAGTTATATAGATCAAACCGCAGAAGGTTGATTGCTGTATTACTGTACATGTAACTATTAATATAGTACTAGTATACTACGTAGTACGTTGTATGAGGTTAGTTAACGTTAATGCAAATCCGGTTTGCAAGGCGTCCTGGTACTTCGAATATCAGTTCTCAAAGGTAGTTTTGAATTGTTCGACATTTAGACGAGCCTTTGTATACCAATACAAATACAAGGACAAAATATCCGTCTGGCAACCGCCATCGATAGTTGCGCGCGCAAATGTCGAGAGCGTCGACGACTGCGGCGGCTGCACCGCCGTCCATCCGACTTTATGAGGCTGAAGACATTCCTGAAGGCACGAAGCCGCCCAACACCCTCCGAATCACGGTGATCCGGGCTCGTGGGGTGGCCATGGCGGCACTCCGATCGACGACGAGCCTGTACTGCAAGCTGTCGTGTGCCGGCATTGAGCACAAAACCAAACTCAAGGCGAAGACACTGGATCCGCTGTGGAACGAAGTACGTCGCTCCTTCACGTGTCCTCCTTCATGTTGGATGATATCGCCATGCGTGTAGACGTTCTCGTTTCGGAGCCCAGACTTTCTCACAGCATGTACCATTACCGTGGCGGACAAAGTGAACATCAAGAAGCGGTTTGTGGGTCAAATCCGCATCGTCGCGTCGGACATTGCGACAGAGCCCATGATGCGCTGCACACGCTTGTTTCCTCTCTTGGACAAGTCGTGGGAAGCACGGGAGAAACCGCTGGGGGAGCTCGAACTCAAAGTGTGTCTCGTGTACGAGCGCGAGCACGACGCCGTGGTGCTGCATAGCATGAAAGCCGCAGAGCGCTCTGCGGACGACAGCAGCGACGCCATCGTCGTGTGGGACACGGGCGACGGCGAAGGCGTCGCTGTCCAACAAGACGAGACCGAAGAAGAAGCACTGCTTCGGAAACAAGAGCTCGAGTGGCAAGAGAAACAGCGCCAAGACGCCATCATGTCGAACGTTCCCAAGGGCGACTACCAGATCCAGGCGCATATCATCGAAGCTCGCGACATCAAGGGCGAGTTCGTACGTCCACCTGTGTCTCTCGTTGTCCTCGCATTGAAGTGTATCTCTAGTTTGACGGCACGTCCGATCCCATTTGCTACGTCGAAGTGCTCGACAAGCGACAAAAAACCCACGCCAAGTTTAAATCCTTGTCGTGTGTGTTTGACGAGATCATGTTTTTTCACTTCCACGGGATTGGCCGCGACGAGTTGGAGACGGCCACGATCAACGTCAGTTCACTCCTCATATATATATATATATATTAATACGTATAAATATATAGGAGTACATTTAATATATATATATATGTATATATTTGAGTAATATATTTA